GAGACGCCGACACCCCACCCCCCGGCCCCGCCCCGACCACAGGTGCGCGGCGGCACGAAGATGCAGTCGCTCCAGCTCTCGCGCAAGAGGGCCTACGTCTTTGGCCGCTCACGCGAAAGGGTCAGCCTCGCAACTCTTCCCCACCAGATCTTGCACAGCCGACTCGCAAAGCCCCACTGCCCTCCACCGAGAGCTGACTCACCGAGAGCCGACCGGGGCCGCGGGCCGAGCCAGCGTTCGAGACTCCGCCTCGGACACCGCCCGAGGCGACCGCCCGAGAGTCCTCCCAGAGACGCCCCCCCAGCCTCCCCCCCCCCCCCCCGATTGTGCTGTGCTAGTCCACGACACGTCCATGACACGTCCGTAACACGTCCACGACACTTCGCCAGGCGGACTTCGCCGTGCCAGACGAGTCCGTGTCTCGTGCGCACGCGGCGATTGTGCACGGCTCTCCGGCCGATGGCGGCCGCGACGGCGGCGACGGCGACGACAGCGAGGCACCGCTGCACCTCATTGACCTCGGCTCGACCAAGGGCGGCTGCGCCTAGAAGCGGGATGAGTACTCGTGTATTCCAACCCGCGCTCGAGAGGACACGGACTCCGCTGTACTCGACCGTATTCGGCTGTACTCCCTGTGTTCGCACCCCTCGTCTTTCACGCGTGCTCTCTAAAGCACTCCGGCCCCCGAGGGTTGGCGTATTCATCATGCAGGCAGCTTCCTCGACACGGGCGCCGGCTGGGAGCGGCTGTCGCCGCACAAGCCGACGCGCGTGCCGTGCGGCGCAAAGATCAAGCTCGGCGATTGCGACACGGTGCTTGTCCGCCCGTCGCCATCGTCGCCGCCGTCGTCGCTGCCGCCGCCGCCGCCGCCGCCGCCGCCGCTCGCGCCGCCGGAGCCGGAGGGACCTCGCTTTTCAGACATGCTGCAGACGACCATCCTGCCGAGCACGCCCGCCGTCGATGTCGCGGCGGCGCGCAAGGCGAAGGCGGAGGCGTTGCCGTTCCCCGAGGTTGAGGGGGGCGGCGCTGGAGCGGAGGGCGAGGGCGAGGGCGAGGAGGAGGGCGAGGGCGGCGCCGCCGAACCACAGCTCAGCAACAGCGACTTTCGGAACGCGTTGCTGCCCTTCCTTGCCTCGAAGAAGGCGAACGGCGAGGGCGAGGGCGAGGACGGGGGCGACCGCAAGCGCAAGAAGAAGAAGAAGCGGAGGCGCGGCGACGACTCGGACGATTCCGACGCAGAACCCCCGCCCCCCCTGAAGCTCGACAAAGCGGCCGCCGCAGTCGACCCCGGCGGCGGATTTGTGCTGCGCAAGCAGAAGGCGCAGCCTGGCAAGCGCGGGCCCACGAGCAGCAAGAAGGAGCCGAAGATCAAGTTTTGATCAGGACGGGGGCTCGGCCACATCCACATCGCCGCCCCACTCTGATCATTCGGACAAGTTATTGGGACACGCCGCGCGCGCCTGGTTCTGTCCCTGCGCGTTCAGTCTATCCGGCGTGGGTCGACTATGGTCCACGATCAGTCTCTGTCGCGGTGTGTGCTTTTTGAGATGGACCATGACGAGAGTGATACAACAAAAACACAGTAACAATCGCACAGAATTTAAGCCAACGTACACGCTACACCAGGGTTGGGAAGGGCGGCATGCCGGACAGGTTCACCATGAGGAACCCTGGCCGCAAGCCGCCGGGCAAGGCGGTCAAGCGCAAGCCTGACCGCCAGCCCGCACCCAAGGGAGGTGGACCCCCACCCCCCTCTCCTAAGGTGAACAAGAACAGGCTGAGCGCGCTGGGCGCTGGCCCTTCTGGCACCAGCGGGAGCCAGAGCGCGCACCACCGCGCTCCCCCTCCCCCTCCTCGCCGCCTGCCAAATCACCGCGGTCGTCTGTGCCTGCTTCCGAGTATGACTCCGAGTTCGACTTTTCCGACGCTGAGGCGCAGGATAGGACGGCAGGGGTCGTACACGACGCAGTTCAGCAGGCTGTGATGCAATACGGCTATGACGACGAGCTCTTCCAGGCGTGGAGGGACGGCGAGATACGGCGAAAGGACTTGCCGGAGAAGGTGGTGGCTATGGCTTTGGACCTTTGCGAGAGGTGGCGAGCGGAGCAAGCGCGGTGTAGGCGCGTCCACGCGGCGCAGCGGCTCTCCCGCGACCCCGGCCCCTCTCATAGCCGCAGCCGTAGCCGCAGCCCTAACTCTTGCCGCTCTTCCGTGTCGGGTTGTGACGAGGGGTGAGGGGACACGGATTGAAGATCCCTCACACCAAGATCGTGCAGGGCGGGGACACATATCCCTAAATCCCATCTCGTCTCAGAGTTTGCCCGTTTTATTTATTTATTTACACCCCGACGCCCGAGAGCCGAGAGCCCCTCCCTTCAACGCAAACAGAAGAGAGCGCATCCGAGCCCCACGTATACTCTAGGGATAGGGTGTACGTAGCTCTGGGTGGCGCTAGTGCACGCAAGCTCCAGGGCGCGCGCTCGGCAGACCTTGGGCTCAGTCTATTTCCTCGATCTGCTCGTCCTGACGCGACTTGAGCCAAGCCGGCTCCGCCCCCAGCTGCAAAGCACTTGCACGCCGCGCAGCGCTGCCCTCTCCCCAACCCACGAAGACCATCGCCGCCAGCGCGCCCGCAGAGGCGGCCGCCTGGCTGACTGACTCATCCACGCCGAAAACATTTCCCCCCATGTGCCTCTCGCAGCAAATGGTTCCCAGCGCGATGCAGCCGTTCTCTTGGACCCCGGTACGGTCGCGGTGCTCCTGCATGCCAGTCACGACGGCCGCTAGCGCGCCCGCCGCCGCCATCGCTTCCACGATCGCCTGTACCTGTCCTCGGGCGAGAGCAGACAGGGCGTGGCAGCCAGTTTGCTGTACAGCCGCATGGCTCGGATGCGCGCGCATGCCGGCAATGATTAATGGCAGTGCCCCAGCGCCCATAATCGTGTCTCTGCGAAGGCGACCCTCCTCGTCTGGGCCACTTTGGCCGGCGCACAGCCAACCGAGGGCACCATAGCTCGCCGCTTGCACGGGGACGCAGTCGCCATGGTCCCGGATCATGGTGACGACCATTTGCGGCGCGCCCGCATCCGCCAGGAGTTGACTGCGAATGCTGTTCGCCCCCTCGGTGGTCGCGCCCACCCCAAAAAGAGCACGGCAGCATGCATCAGCGATCTCGCGCTGTAGGTAGTAGGCCCTGAGAGCGCTGCAAAGCACTGCCGCGCTCTGCTCCCGCTCGAGCTGACTGGGCAGCACCAGCCGACGGAGTCTGCTCCACGCATGGCATACGAGCGGCTGCGATTTCCTGGCCGGAAGCAGTGCGAGAATTTTTGGCAGCAGGTCATCCGAAAGCATGACGCCTGTCACCCACTCTGGATTGCGGCGAAGGGCTGAGCCCCCCCTCCCTCCCCCGCGCCCATTCCCTGCCCTCTCCCGCCACGCACTCCGTCCGAGCCCTCTCCCCTCTTGCACAACAGGAATTTTGACAATTAATCAGAGAAGGACGCCGGGAGCAAAGCCCATGCCCCCTTGCTGCCTCCTGCAGGTGAGGAAAACACAACTCGAATCGATGCACGATGGGCTTGCCCCATCCCGGAGTGGTTCGATCCCGCACAAATCCGAGACGGTGATGGATGCGTCGCGTGATGGTCTCATGCCCAGTGAGGTAGTGCATCTGGCTACTCTGGATCCTGCTGAACAAGTTCCTCTTGTAGCTCGATCGGTCACACCGCCACCGCCGATGATGGAGAGGGGGGACGACACTGCTTCTGTAGCCTCGGCCAAAGCCGCAAGCGGCTCCAGGGCGAACAGCGCGTCGTGCGCGTGCGGCGCCCACATTTCGCGGGCCAATCTCTTGCCTCGTGGATGGCGGGGCCGTTTCTTTTTTGATGTACGTACTTTTAGCTAGCTTACTGGGAGAAAAGCGAGAGGGGGTTGTGTTCTCTATCTAGGCCCCTAAGGGCCCTACGCGCGGCGTGAGAGCTCGGAAGCGAGCTTTGCACGGCGATCGAGGATGGCACGGTTCACCCCCTTCACCGAAGCGATGCTGAGAGTGTATGTAAATAAATAAATAAACAAAGTGCAGTAGAAAATCCAAAATCCAAATCGCAAACATAGAAACCCAAACACACACAGCCACGTGGCAATAAAAACGTGTGAGATGGGTAAAAAGGAAAGGTCCCCGCCCTTGCGATCTTTGTGGTTTGTGCACTGCAGGGTTCTTTGTGGGTGTGGTCGTATGTAGCTCTTACGTACATTCCCGTATTTTTTCGCAATGCTGATTTTCTTTCTTTCTTCAATAGAGGGGGGTTCCGAGTTTCGTTAATTTTCTCGTCGCCTAATGTAGAGAGACTAGGTAGAGCGGCCCGACCGGCCCTGAGTGCATAGACTTAGTCAGAGCCTGCGGCAGAGAGAGCGCGCAGCGCCGGGCCGCCGCTGGCAAAGCCAAAGAACCTGGGTCCGAACGCAACTCGTCTCAACCGAACCGCGGCCGCCTAAAACTCGGGCGTGTAGAGGAAGCGCAGGATCCACGGCATCGAGAGCTGCGGGCGAGGGAGGAGCGGGGCCGCGTTGAGAGAGAGGCAACGGAGGAGAGGGAGGATGCAGCGGGCGGGTGGGGGCATGCAAGCGGTGCGGTAGGGGCATGGCAGCTGCCGCGGAGGCGTCACGGGCGCAGTGGGTCGAGGGTGCGCGCCTGCGTTGCGGCGAGGAAGAAAGGGCCGAGCAGCGGGATGGTCATCATCAGGTCGAAGTCGACGAGCAGATCGGAGCCGAGCTGCGCGAACCCCTGCACGATCGCCGTGCGCACCACGCGGACGCGCGAATAGCGTGCGAGCGCCGACGGCACCTCGCGAGTGTGGCTCACCTGACGGGGCATGCGAGGGGCGCAGGCGGTCCCCCGCCCAGTCCCCTGCCCCCTCTCGCGCTTGGACTTCCTCTCCCCCTTCATGCCCCCCTCCCCGCGGTATCCCCCCACCCCCCCCCCCCTCATTCAATCCCTCGCCTCGCCCCCCTCCCTCTCCCTCCTCCCAGCAGGGAGCCGTGCCCCTCGACCATGCTCCGAGAGAAAGCCTCGGTGGGGGCCGGCGGGTGCGTGGGCGACCCCTCGGTGGGGGCGACCCGCCAACGCGAAATCGTCTCGGTCGGGCATGGCTAAGCCAGTCCAAAACGGCACAACCTAGCCGGCGGCACTCTCGAGCGGTCTCTGCGGCTCACCGTCGCAAGCTCCGCGCCCAGCCGGTAGCCGTCTTCGGTCGATTGGCAGCCGCCCTGCCCCAAATTTGGCATCATCGGGTGCGCCGCGTCCCCGCAGAGCGCGACGGGCCTGAGGCATAAACACACCACAATCAGGGCGTGAAGCAAGATCCGTGCAGTGCGATCGGAGCCGCGCGAGGACAAGGGCTGCGAGTACATCGAATACAGCAGGAGACATGTACGCTCGATCCGTGCCCTCTCGGGTGCGAGTCCGAGTACCGGCGGCCTGCCGTTCCCAATCTAGGGCGCCCGGCCCCTTTGCCCACGGCGACCACCAGCGACGCGGGTCCCAAGTGGCGAGGAGGGGCGCCCCATCGTAGAGGTCGCGCCTACGGGACATGTCTTGGACATGTCGTGGACGCGTCCTCGACATGTCCGACCCGGCGACCCGCCGCAGAGGGCGCGCCGCTTGATGTCACTCTCGGCGGACGCTTCGATCAGCTCGAGTGCGAACGGGTCCCAGACGTTGCCGTCGGCGTCGCCGCTGCTGCACGAGAACTCCTGGCGCAGCCGCGTCAGCTTTGGCGTTGGGTCCTCGTCCGTGGGCTCCGGATCGACGCCGCCCGCCGGCTCGCGGATGAGCGCAAACCACTGCTGCCGCTCGCCGCCGCCGTCGGTCGACACAAAGTACTTCTTCTCTCCGAGCAGGATTTGATACGAGACGTCCTCGATGTTTGATGCGCGGTGCGGCGCCAGCGCCGCGTAGCAGGTGAAGCCCGAGAAGCGGCGATCCGCCTGCGCCGCGATCCGCACGGTGTCGCGCGCCAGCTTGCGCGCCTCCGCCTCGTCGAGCGCACCTGTTCACAGAAAGAGGTGTGAAGAGACGCTGTTCACAGCTTGCGCGCCTCCGCCTCGTCGAGCGCACCTGTTCACAGAAAGAGGTGTGAAGAGACGCTGTTCACAGCTTGCGCGCCTCCGCCTCGTCGAGCGCACCTGTTCACAGCAAGAGGTGTGAAGAGACGCTGTTCACAGCTTGCGCGCCTCCGCCTCGTCGAGCGCACCTGTTCACAGCAAGAGGTGTGAAGAGACGCTGTTCACAGCTTGCGCGCCTCCGCCTCGTCGAGCGCACCTGTTCACAGAAAGAGGTGTGAAGAGACGCTGTTCACAGCTTGCGCGCCTCCGCCTCGTCGAGCGCACCTCCCGCCGCGCCCGACGCGGCGAAGCCGCCCGCGCCCTCTCCGAGTGAGTGCATCTGCTTGCGGATCTGGGACCAGACGCCGTCCGCGCCGACCAGCACGTCCGCGTGCGCCTTGGTGCCGTCGGAGAGCGTCGCAACCACGCCGCGGCCGTCGCCGCGGTCCTCCCACCCCTCGATGCGCGAGCTGATGCGGACGGTGCCGTCGGGGAAGCCATGCTTGACCAGAATCTGCTGAATCACCGGCCGGTCGACCACGACCGTCGCAGGGAGCCCCGCCTCGAGGGCAGGGCCGATGGTGTCGAACCGCACCAGCCAGTCGCCTCGGTCGTACAGACCCGCCAGCTTGTTGCCCTTGCGGTACCCGATCTTGAGGCCTGAGACGCGGTCGGCGGTGACGGTGCCCGCGGCGACGAGCTCCTCAAAGACGGCTGGGGAGATGCGCTGGATGGCGCGGAGCGCATTGGACTGGATCTGGATGGGGCCGCCGTACGGCGCGTACGAAGACGCCTGCTCGAACAGCGCGACCCGCATGCCCGCCGCGTGGCACGCCGCCGCTGTCACCAGGCCGGCAAGCCCGCCACCCGCCACCAGCACGGTGAGTGGGTCGTCCTTGCTCACCGGCCGGCCACCCGCCGGCACCTCGCGCGGCGTGCGCCACCACGCCTTCTCATCCTCCTCCCCCACCAGCATCCCGCGCAGCGCCTGCGCATCGGCAGCAGCCTGCTCGTAGCGCGTGCGGATGCGGTGCGTCCTCTCATCGTTCTCGGCCTCGCGCTGCGGCGCGTGCGGCTGCGAGAGGATGCGTGCAACGTGGTCCGGCATGTCCACCTTGTTCTCCGCCGAGCCCTCGCCGGCCGCAAGCCACTCGACCTGCGGGAGCTTGCGCTTTGCCGTCCGCAGCGCTGCCGCAGGGCCAAAGGAGAAGGCCTGCTCGCCGCGCATCGCCGGCGCTGGCGCGCGCTGCACGGCGCGAGCCGGTGCCACGCGGTGGGGAGGCGGCCTACCAGCGAACGACGCCGAGGGAGTGATCGCCCCCGCGAGCCACAGCATCATTACGACAGACCCCTTGGTTTTCTTTGTTTTCTTTGCGAGATCGTTTTTGCGTCTTCAGTCTTGGGCTCACCGGTGAATTGTCTTTTTGCCTGTG